GTGACAACATTCTAATCTCGGTGATATCACTTTTATCGCATTCAGGACAATGTCATAAATGTCCCTCCCTCGCTTCGCTCACTCGTGACATTTTGTGATATTGTTCCTCATGCGATAAAAGTGATATCACCTCACTCCTCATATGATAACCTCTACATAATTATATATACATTTATAATATAACATTTATAGTACGCGCGTGCTGATTGGTCGAGAAGCGTGTTTCTATAACTGTATAGAAACACGGGAATTTTCCCGCCGAACTGGTCAAGCGAAGTAATGTAATGAGAATTTGTAATTGAATCGAATTATAATATTTGTACAAAATCTTTTTATTGAGTTATATTATAAAGAAATAGAAAACATTTTTTCCTGTGTTTCTATACAGTTATAGAAACACTTGTGGGAGTTTGGGAGAACGAGAAATAATCAGTGGGAAAACGAGCCCGTAGGGCGAGTTTTTCCACGTTATTTCGAGAGTTTTTCCACGTTATTTGGGAGAACGAGAAATAATCAGTGGGAAAACGAGCCCGTAGGGCGAGTTTTTCCACGTTATTTCGAGTTCTCCCAAACTCCCACGCGTGTTTCTATAACTGTATAGAAACACGGAAAATGTTTTCTATTTCTTAAATATATAATGCCAAGTATTTTATTGGAACGGTTATTTACTTGGTCAAAATAATTTACATCAAACGTAAGGAGGGTCTGCGTATGTGTAGTGTTTATCGTATGTGTAGTGTATTTAAGCTGCTCAGGTGCTATGAGTTATTTACAAATGATTGTAAATAACTCATAGCACCTGAGGAGCTTAAATAAAAAAGCGAAAACGTTTGTGCAAAATGAGTATATAGTATGTATTGATACCCTTCACTTTTAATCTTCTTCGTGCCATATATATACTTATATATATATGCTTTACTTTTTTTCGTAGGTGAAGCATGTGGAAAGCCCATACAGAAAGTGCCGTATTCCAAAGGTGGTTTCGTCGTTTCAGGATTACCTGATGAAATTGAGTTTAGAAACCCGAGCACTTATGGGCAAAAACAAATCCAGAAAATCATGAACAAGGCTGATGACATCGCCTTTTGTTTACAAAATCCTGCTGTCAAAGTGCCATCACAAGTCACTGTCGCCGAACTTGCAGTACACAAGCAAATTTTGGTAAAATTAGTCACCGAAGAAACCGCTACAGCCAGCCTATCGAACCAACACCAAATCTTAGAGGAGGATTTGGAAGTATGCGAATTCGACCTCACCGCTAGTGAGTTCAATATTCTCACTACACAATTGCGGGATTACTTCCATGAAGATGCAATCACCGCACTAGAAAGTAATTTTGAGGCAGGCAGGGGTCATCAAGGGTATATATTACCCGTGTATACAACCACCAGTGATGCATACTGGTTGTTTTACCATCCCGGAACCGCCGATGAGATTGAGAATCTACAACCAGAAGATCCAATTAGCGGTTACTGGCTTGACAAGACCGAACAGGAACTACACTACAAGTTACTGGTTGAGCCCCAAGAAGCATCAATTGTGGCATTGAATTTGATCAACGACAATCTTAGCGAACTTGGGTCTCTTAGAGTTAGAAAACACCTTGATACAGAGGATGAATTGAGGCTCATTGCGGTGTCCGCTGATTTTGACTACTCTGTAAAGGAGTGTTTGAGAAAACATGGCTTTGATAAGTAATTTTTTAAACCTTCGTAAGACCTGTTTCAAACGGCGAGTTTACCATGTGCCTAACCCATCCAACCCAAACAATCGACTTGAGTCTATATGTTAAGCTCGACTACTTTGTTATTTTCGACGTTTGAATCACCAAGCCAACTTGGTCGAGCTCAATATGAATTGAATTCGGCACATGAAAACTCGCCGTTTTGAAACAGGCCTAAATTGTTCTGCCTAGAACTATTGCAAGTTGTAATTACACACCTACATAGGTACGTGAGTCATAATATCTATACTGTTGCAAATGTTGCGTTGTCATTGGCTACGTTACTCGCTGTCTATTCATCGATAGATAGTTGCAAAACGAACATTTAATGGTCCATCTTTCATGGGGTTTTTTCATGGGGTTTTTTGTTATTCAGACCACGCCCATTGCACTGTATGCTGGGTGGGGGTCCAAGCATGTGTAGAAAAAATGGTATCAGCAATGTCACATTTTTGCAATTTTAAACGTTGCTAACCGACTGATTTCAAAGATATGGTTAGAAGAGTCCTTGCTACGTGTCGAAGCGCTGCATAGAATACGGTTTCTGTGACTAGTGATTATTAAAGAATTAAATGGAAATAGATGAAAATTTGTAGAATGTTGTGGGTAAATGTGTCAAAATGATATAGGGAATTCGGTAATGTGCTTACTCGAGTGATGGGAAATCTGACAAGACTGAGGGGCTGTTAATATATGGGGAAGGCTGGCCCGCTTAAGAGGATTGGCCTTTCAGCTGGCGGTTGGCTTTCAGCTCGTGTTTATATGAGATGGCTTGGCCCTGTTAGGGGGGCTGGCTAAGGAGGAGGGATCTCTTCTTCAAGGGCCAGCTCTCCAGTGAGGGCTGGCCTTCTTCCATATAAACACCCCATGAATAACATAGGAACGAATAAGCAGGGCCGTTGCGATAGTGGTGTGTGTGTGTGTGCCCCAGCAAGGAAGCAAGCAAGCAAGGAAAGAGACAAGAAGAAAGAAAGAAAGAAAGGAAGAACGAAAAGAAGAACTAAAGGAAGAAAACAAGGAAGAACAAAAGATACAGTGAAAGAAATAACAAAAGAGAGAGACAATTTTAAATAATGATGGTCACTTTCAAAATTCAAAGTTCATCTTAATTTAGATATTTAGATAATCGCACTTTTCATCTGGGGTGCTTTTCACGCTCGCCCTCTTAGGTGATTAGGTCTATACCTGATACGAGCGACACGAACCCCAAAATTCAAAGTTCATCTTAAATTTATTCAAATGCTCTGAAATTTTGTATTTACACTAGTTTCCGTGATACAAAACGTTGTGCAAAGATCGTTAAGATAGTCGCACTTTTCATCTGGGGTGCTTTTCACGCTCGCCCTCTTAGGTGATTAGGTCTATACCTGATACGAGCGACGCGAACCCCAAAATTCAAAGTTCATCTTAATTTTATTCAAATGCTCTGAAATTTTGTATTCACGCTAGTTTCCGTGATACAAAACGTTGTGCGAAGTTTCGTTAAGATAGTCGCACTTTTCATCTGGGGTGCTTTTCACGCTCGCCCTCTTAGGTGATTAGGTCTATACCTGATACGAGCGACGCCAACCCCAAAATTCAAAGTTCATCTTAATTTTATTCAAATGCTCTGAAATTTTGTATTCACGCTAGTTTCCGTGATACAAAACGTTGTGCGAAGTTTCGTTAAGATAGTCGCACTTTTCATCTGGGGTGCTTTTCACGCTCGCCCTCTTAGGTGATTAGGTCTATACCTGATACGAGCGACGCCAACCCCAAATTTCAAAGTTCATCTTAATTTTATTCAAATGCTCTGAAATTTTGTATTTACACTAGTTTCCGTGATACAAAACGTTGTGCAAAGTTTCGTTAAGATAGTCGCACTTTTCATCTGGGGTGCTTTTCACGCTCGCCCTCTTAGGTGATTAGGTCTATACCTGATACGAGCGACACGAACCCCAAAATTCAAAGTTCATCTTAATTTTATTCAAATGCTCTGAAATTTTGTATTTACACTAGTTTCCGTGATACAAAACGTTGTGCAAAGTTTCGTTAAGATAGTCGCACTTTTCATCTGGGGTGCTTTTCACGCTCGCCCTCTTAGGTGATTAGGTCTATACCTGATACGAGCGACACGAACCCTGTGGAGAATTTTGTTGTTTCCCACAATTGGTTTGAAGAAGTATTTTCACGCTTTTGTTTAAGATATTTTTATTTTAATTCTAATCTCACTTGCTCGCACGCTCTCTCTCTTCCTCTATCTAATATGTCAATCAAGTGTCAGTTTTTGTTCGCTCACGAATTAACTTGTTAACGATTAACTTGTTCCCTTGCTAATAACAACTAAGACGCTACTAACATTCACGACACACTCCCCCTATTTTTAAACATCCTAAATATAAAAATATGAATATAAACTGTTTTACTGACTGTTATTAGATTGTCCCAGTCACTTCCAGTCGTTTGTATAACTCATGCATAAATGTTAGTCACTTTCATTTTCAAGCTCTTGCATTCGCCGAATATTCACTGTTGCCTCAACCGCCGCTTTCCGCTTTGGCTTAAACTCTTCAACTTCGGGATTCAGTGGTTTTTGTTCCGAGCCCCTTTCATCACTGTGTAACTCCATTGGATAAAGAAACTGAATAGGTCTTTCTAGATAACTTTGCCGGCACGAAGTCTCACCGCCCTGACAATTCCATCTCTCCCCGGTATTAATCTTTCCACGATTCCGATCTTCCACGTTCCTCGATTCTTTCCTTCTCCTTTGATAAGTACCCATCACCTTCTCGTAAATTTCCGCTTTTCCCGTTATGTCGTAAGTCGTGTCTTTCTCGAAGCGCTCTCATGTATTCATTTCGCCATCTCCGCCATAACGCCTCTTTACATTTCTTCAAATATTTTGCTCTTTTTCGCATATCACCATCTTCAATTTCAGCACTCGGAAGTTCCAATAAATAATTGGCTTTACCCAATATCATCAGGTTAGGCGTGAGAACAGGTAATTGCACGTCATCTTCGCAATACGTTAATGGTCGATTATTGAGTGCTATCTGGATATCTAGCAACACATCCTGCAACTCCTTGTAGGTGAGTTTTGCAGAACCAACAACTTTGTACAACGAATTCTTTACCAACGCGACCATCCTCTCAAACATACCTCCCCACCAACTTGCTTTACTCAGATTAAACTGCCATCGAATTTGATAGTCGTGCAGAAATGCGTGAAACCTTTCATCTCGGGTTGCTTTCTTAATCCACTTCGCCGCAGCATGAAAGGTCTTACCATTATCTGAAATCATCTTCTTTGGTCTACGCGAACCGCTACAAACCTCTTGAAACTTGCCAGGAATTCCTCACAACTCAAATCAGGTAAAAGTTCCAAGTGGAGCCCTCTTGTTAAGGAACAGGTGTAGATAAGGATATACGATTTCTGTTCATTGTTCTTGTTTCGATAGTAAATAGGGCCAGCATAATCTACACCAACGATTTCAAATGGCGTCATCCCTTCGGTTCTTTCTTTTGGTAAATTACCTTGAGGTGGAGTTGGTTCATGCACTATATGGAACCGCTTGCAACCATAACAACAACTGAGAACTTTCTTCGCCAAAGTTCGTAATTTAGGAATCCAGAATTCTTCACGGACTTTGCTCATGATCAGGGCAACTCCCCCATGCAGGGTCTTCATATGAGCTTGCTTTACGACCAATTCAGATAATACATGTTTTGCTGGCAGATACACTGGATATTCACCTTGGATTCGTCCTTGGCACACGTATATTCCCTCGCCATTCTTTTGAAGATTTAATCTGGTAGAATCCACTTTGAAGATCTCAAGTGCTTCGCTCTCGGATTGTGCGCGTTTAATCAAGAACTTCATCTGCTTCTGTGTTTCTTCGGTCACTAATGGTCCGTTGACTTTCTTGCCACACACGAAGTTGTCAATAAATCTCGTGACCCAAGCTAAAATTCGAACAGTTTTAGTCAGACCGAATTTCTCTAGTAAACAATCGATGAAATCGGCCTCTTTCTGAATGGTAACTTTCATTACTTCTCTCATCATTCGACTTTCTGACTCGGACTTCTCGCTCGGTTTGATCTTTACTTGCTCCGGCCATTTTTCAGTTTCACTCAACCAACTAGGCCCTTTCATCCAGGTTTCATTCGCTTGAAGATCTCGTGTTGTACCTCGACTGCCGATATCTGCAGGGTTTTCCAGAGTTGGAACATACTTCCACTCGATTTGCTTCTCGGTGATCTTTTTCACTCGATTTGCTACGAATTGCTTATAGTTACCCTGTCCGTTAATCCACTGTAGACAAACGGTCGAATCGCTCCACGCACAAACGCTTATCACTGGAAGATGACTAAGAACCTTTCTGACATTGTCAATAAGATTGCAGACCATATGACAACTCACTAGTTCCAATCTTGGAATTGTTAAATCTCGCTTTGCCAGTCTCGTTTTGGACACTAGCAGCCCTTGAGAAACTAGAGCACCCTGTTTGGTCACAACGTAGACAGCGGCACAACATCCCAGAATACTTGCATCAGCGAAACCATGAATGTAAATCTCGGTAGTGACGACTCTCTCTCGAGGGATACTTCTTGGGAAGGTTAAACTGCCTGGTAATCTATCTAACCACCGCTTCCATCGATCCTTCAGATCTTTAGGTAATTCAGCATCCCATCCGAGCTTACGATCACATATATCACGGAAGATTACTTTAGCTGTGAGTAAATATGGACTAGCTAAACCCAGGGGATCATATACTCTCGCCATTGTTTGAAGAACTATCCGTTTGGTCATTTCTACTTTCTGCTTTGGTAGTGATACAGACAAAGTATCCTCCTTTTTGTTCCATCCCAGTCCCAGGAGCTTGGTCTCCGATGGCTTAGTTCCCAAAGTTTCTTTAGCAAAGGTAGATTCTCCGTCTTCCACGTTGTCACTCTCTAACTCCGCAGCATTAGAATGCCATTTGTGCAAAACAAAGCTTCCCTCGCTGAGAATTTCTTTGGCTTGCTCCTTGAGTACTACCGTCTCCTCTACTTTATCACCTCCGATGTTTATGTCATCAACATACGTTCCTTCAGATAATTCTTCAACACATTGTGGATAGTGCTCTGCATACTTCTCGAGATGAACGTTCAAAGTCCCTCCGAGTAAGAATGGGCTTGGGCCTAGCCCAAACATCGCTCTGGTCATACGATACACCACCATCTCTTTGCATTGTAGATCGTTTATCCATAAAAATCTCATCGCATCTCGCTCGTTCTCTCTAATCACTATTTGTAGGAACGCTTGTTTTATATCACCAGCTAAGAGAATAGGTTTAAGTCGATTACGAAGTAGTATGTCAAGGATTCTTCTTTGGAGTGGGGGACCAATGTCCAAGCAATCATTCAATGATGGGGATTTTTGATCAGCTTTTGCCGAAGCATCAAACACAATTCTTACTTTCGTAGACTCGGCTTGCTCTCGTACTACCGGTTTGTGGGGAATGTAATGCTCTCGGCTCCCTTCAGGTTTCTCAGGCGCAATCTCGACCACTCCATCTTTGAGTTGATTTTCCACTATATCATGATAAGTCTTCAGCAGTTCAGGCTGTTTGTCAAGTCGGTTGAATAATGACTGAAATCTCCTCTTGGCTACAAGGTAATTGGTCGGCAGCTCCGGATGGTGAGCCTTCCATGGTAACGATGTCTCATATCGACCGTCCTCTTGCTGAGTAAGCTGTTCTTTAAATTCTCGATACACGCTCCCTTGATCTCCTTCAACATGGTCTTCTAATCCAAGCACGTCCAGACTACAAAGATGCATGTAGTCTTCTTGGGAGCTCTTGGTAAACATCAAGTAGGAATGGTTCTTCTCTCGCCCCGGTGACATGATAATCCATCCCAAAGCAGTTTTCTCAGCGATTGGCATCCCATCGTTCCCAACCTTAGCAGGTACAGTTGTCTTGATTCTAGACATATCACTGGCACCTAGGATTAGATGCACAGGTAAAAGTGCTTTCTCATCAATATCATTCATATGTACTCCTTTAAGGTGTTCATGGGTTTCAATAAGTTCTTTATACCTCGGATTTGGCACTTTCATTAGCACATCCTTGTCGATTCGATTCAGTTCACATGACATCTTGAAATTGCCATCAACAGCTGCAATCTCCACCTCATAAACATCAATCTTCCTTGTTGTTGTTTGAAGCATCATCTCTATTGATTTAAATTCTTGTCTTATTGGCTTTTTTCCAATTGCGTTTAACAACGTGCTTGATGCAAATGAACTCCCAGACCCAGTGTCTAAAAGTGCTCGACACTTTAGTCCTCCCATCTCTACCACCACAACTGGATAAACTACATCCTTCCCACTAGGTTGACACAGCAGTTTTTGATTTGCGTTTAGTTTATCACAAATAGAAGTGTGATGCCTTCTCTTGCAGTTGTAACATTGGCTCCTACTTCTGCAATCACTTGCTCTATGCTTTTCGCCAGTGCAGTTGAAACACCGGTGCTTGTCGCTGAGAATTTTCTTCCGGTCACTGACATTCACCACTTTATCACATTCCACAGATCTGTGATCTTTGCTTTCACAATATACGCAATGTTTAGATTGTTCCTTTGTTAACAATAACTTATCTCGCTTACCATCTTTCCATGAAAATCCATCTTTTTTATCACTTTGTTGTAATGGGTTTCGCTCAATCCACTGTCGTAATGCCTCAACTAACTCCGGGAAAGTCCACCTTTTCCAATCTGATGAGGTTCTCGTTAAATCAGCTCGAATGCCTTCTAATTTATCCAACGTCATCCTTACATTTCCTGCAACATCCCCCAATTTTCCGAATGCTTCAAGAGCTTGAACATGCCCCAAAAGACTGTCATAAAAGTTGTGTATCTTTTGTTTTGATACGCCAGTAATAGTAGGTAAAGACAGAATTTCTTGAATATGTGCATTGACTACCTCGCTTGCGTCACCATATCTTTGCTCCAACATCCTTTTCGCTTTTGCATACCCTTCGCTATTCAGTGGTAATTGATCAATTGTAATTCGAACTTTAGGTACAAGATGTTCTTTTAAATATGCAAACTTTGCTTCGTCTTTCATGGGAGCTTTATCAATTTGGGTCTCAAATAGACCCCAAAACCGAACCCAATCTAAATGAGTTCCTTGAAATTTCGAGATTTGCAGCTCAGGCAACTTCGTTTTAACCCGCTTCGCAGCAGCTAATTCTAGCTTCTTTTCCTCAAGAGATAACGCAAACTCTTCTTCTCTTTCACGCTTTGCCAATTCTATCTCTCTTTCCTCATCTCTAATTTGAGCTCGTGCTTCTGCTTCTTGTCGAATTTTCTCCCGACGCTCAATTTCCTTTCGTTTTCCTTCGTCGTCTAAAAGCTTATTATTTAACTCTTCTATAACCTCCTCAAATACGCGTAACTTGCCTTTGTTTTCGTTTGTCCACTCGTCAATAACTTCATCTTCTTGGCCCGCATCAACCTTCAAGCCTTGTATTAATACAATCAAATCATAAGCTTCGTCTACTTTGGTTTTTAGTGTTGTTTGTTGTCGTTTAATCGCTTCTATCGAATTCCCTCTCAAAATCTCGGTTGTTGCTCGGTTAAAATATGATAATTTTCGCAATACTGACTGGAAGATTCCTACTTTCGTCTCCGTTTCATTAGATAAACCCGACTGCTCTTGTGCTTCAAGATCAATTCGTTGACTTTGTTGTCTCGTCACCGCCATGTCACGCTCGATTTTTTAGTCAAAATACATCCTCAAACCCCGATTAATTCTCGATAAATTCCAAGTCACAAATAGATAATAATCGCCGTCGAAGGTGCCACTTTGTGGAGAATTTTGTTGTTTCCCACAATTGGTTTGAAGAAGTATTTTCACGCTTTTGTTTAAGATATTTTTATTTTAATTCTAATCTCACTTGCTCGCACGCTCTCTCTCTTCCTCTATCTAATATGTCAATCAAGTGTCAGTTTTTGTTCGCTCACGAATTAACTTGTTAACGATTAACTTGTTCCCTTGCTAATAACAACTAAGACGCTACTAACATTCACGACAACCCCAAAATTCAAAGTTCATCTTAATTTTATTCAAATGCTCTGAAATTTTGTATTTACACTAGTTTCCGTGATACAAAACGTTGTGCAAAGTTTCGTTAAGATAGTCGCACTTTTCATCTGGGGTGCTTTTCACGCTCGCCCTCTTAGGTGATTAGGTCTATACCTGATACGAGCGACACGAACCCCAAAATTCAAAGTTCATCTTAATTTTATTCAAATGCTCTGAAATTTTGTATTTACACTAGTTTCCGTGATACAAAACGTTGTGCAAAGTTTCGTTAAGATAGTCGCACTTTTCATCTGGGGTGCTTTTCACGCTCGCCCTCTTAGGTGATTAGGTCTATACCTGATACGAGCGACACGAACCCCAAAATTCAAACAGGGTTGGTAAGTTACTGAAAAAAATAAGCCAAACATTGTTATTGGCGGCCCTTTGATTCCTTTGTTTTAAACAAAGAAAACAAATGTTATGTTAATATATTTGGCTTATTTATTCATAAAATCTACCCACCCTGAATTCAAAGTTCATCTTAATTTTATTCAAATGCTCTGAAATTTTGTATTTACACTAGTTTTGGAATTTCTTACTACTGTAGTGTACTGTAATTTCTCAAGTTATTATGGGAACGACATCGTGTTATTCCGTTTTATTTGGAAATTTTTTATTGTTGCGCACATTTTCGCGTTCGTTTTCGACATTAAATTTTGGTAATAAAAAAATCGAACGCACGTGCCAAATCTTTGATTATTTAGTTTACTTTTATTATTAAGTTGCGGGTTGCTTATGGATTACTCATAACGCACTTGTCAACATATATTCTGATTACTATACTGGCAATAAATGTTGCAGGACCTCTTTAAATTTTAGAACATTTCAAAGCTCGAATCAAATGGTTTCTGAACATAATGTCACTATTGCATAAGCGACACCGTTGCGACACCATGCCAGAAACGTTTAGCAGAATATTTTTAACCAGGGCTTCCAGTCCCCCGGAAGGAGTTCCGTATTAACTGCTCAATGGCAGGGGTATCATGGGGTGCCACCCACTCATTGTCGCTGGATTGAGGTAAACTAACACATTTGTACATTTTCTAGGCATAAATCGCTACATATAGAATACCACTATTATTACAGTTTGTTCTAGTTCATGTTGTGGAATGTTCATCAAACATTACCACCATCACAATCACTTTGATAATGAGCTGCAGTATCGTCGTCATCTTCACCATCTAACAAATCAACAAGATCTTCTATAACCTGCTCTTCTATAACTGCGATTTCATCATCTTCAATAGTCTCCTGGAACAAGGACGTCGACAGATGAGAAGATGTTGTAGCAGTAATCCCAGAAATTGTGTCAAGAATAGGTGCATCTAAATGATTACGAAATGTGGTTCCTAAGGAAAGCAAAATATTGTTTGTCTCGCAAATTTCACTTTTCACCACAGTACAAATCCCATTTGAAAGTCTGCAGTCGTTCTGCGAGTGAAGTTGATAACTCTCTTCCAGACAATCTCTTCTTTTCAAATAATGGTCAAATAGCATTTCCATTTCCTTCAACAAGAGTTGCTGCTCCTCTTTGCATCGATCTAAGAAATTTTGTAGGTCAATTGCAGACCTTTTCACAGAAAAAGGGACACTCTCAACAGTACTCTCGTCGCAATATGTTCTGTAAAGACTAGACTCAGGATCCTTAGCTTCGTCAAAGTTCAACTCTTTGGGCAATCCATCAACCAATTCCTGCAAAGCAGCTAAGGAGGCATTATACTTGGTGACCGTACTCTTGATCGCATTTGTTTTTCTGTTTATTTGCTTCGATAATTTCGTTGCTATTGCTTGACCATCTGGTAGTAAAACCAAAAGCATTAATATAGTTATAGAGTATTAATTGACAAACTGCTAAAGTTACCATGCAATTTGTATTTCGCTTCTCAAATACATTATTATACTGACAGTAATTCATAAAGCAAAGACGAAAGAAATTCACATCGTTAGTAATGCTGAATTCTTATTTTCATTGCAATTTATTCCTGGAACACTAGCGAAATTCAAGTTGGAATTTCTCGCCAAATATTGGTTCGTTTTGGAAGCTACAGTATAATACTTCTACCTTGTACTATCTATAAATTTAGTCCTCAGCAGAAGTGGACTAAATTTAGAGAAGTCCTATACGATGCATGTACATGTCGTACTTTCCGCTTCTGGTACCACATGTAGCAACTGTAACAGCACACCAGACACGGTTATCTTGGTAGACCGCTTTAGCCTTTACCTGAATATTTTCTTTTAAGAGAAATAAGAAACATCCTCTCCACTGCCATATTATACGTCTGCTCCACAATTGTATCCCGTCTTTGATTTTCCAAACCAAGAGCTGCCGCATTAAAATGTGCTTCACCTGGTTTCCACCTCTTCGGCAGCTTGTTACACTTCTCAATACTTTTCAGTGTCTTCATGACCCTAGATGGTTAGGTCATTGCAAAATAAAAGGATCAAAAAAGAAATTATGTAGGTTAGAATGAATCTTAATTTCTCTCACTCTTTTTTTTTTTAACCACTTCAACCAGTTGGTCATGTGCGCCTTCCTCAATAGATGCAACATTCAATCTGTAATTAAAGAACATACGAAAACGTTGAAAAACCTGTGTAATAATAAAGTACAATCATGACAACATGTACGTACGTACAAGTTCCTTTATCGAAAAGGGAACGCACCTCAGCTGATTCAAATGAATTAGATTCTGAACGTACTTCTGCTGCCACGTCAAAGTGAATTTGGTTTTGGCTATAGGTATTGAAATACAGCATACAGAAGAATTGTTAGTAAACTAGAAACAACAATGTACTGTACGTGTAAGACACAAGTCATCAGCAACAAACCTCTCGTTAAAATCAGATTTTCCTCATCTTTCATCCACTTCTTAATTACTTCTCCATCATATGGAACTACGATTGAAACTTAATTGTTACAATTATTTTGCGGATGTGTCATATGTACAGTATATACACCTTGTACCAAACAAATCAAATTTTTAGCTACTACACCGGATAACGCAGAGAACAGTTCTTCCAATTGCAACAATGCGTTTTGAAGAAGTACTGGACATTTCTTTAGCTTGTTCGCAAGTTGAAATCCTATTAGAGAGGTTAATAGTTTAAGCATAACGTATACTGTACATAATAAGCATAATGTAATATATAAACAGCAGATACTGCAGTACCACATGTACGAAGCTGGCGTGAGGAATAATGCAGCAAAGCATCGGTCAACATATCTGTACGTCGCCCGGGGCTCATTTCCTTGGTCATTGAAGAGAAACCTCTTAAATATGACCACAACCTTTCGATTCCTTCACCATCAGTTAAACCATAGCCTTGTAGTCGCCTTGGGCTGAACTGTATCTAGCATGGGTATGGAGTTTGTCAGAAAGAATAAATATTGTATACCAAACTAATTAGAAGTCTGAATTCATAGCATTATCATAATAAAACCATTCAGTATTTTACAGGGGATATCAGACATAGAAGCTTTATTTTTCTCAAAGTAATTACATGGTTCATAATAATGGAATGTCTATACATTACCTGGCAAGATGACTTGTGTCCATAGCAGTGGAAAATTGGTATGGCTAAATCAACTTTGTCAAGAATGTCTTCCCTCTCATTTTTCTACAACACAGTACAGCGTGCATTAGCTATTACCATATACCTGGTGTTAAACTAGTGATGTGGCTGGAGAAATCAATTTTTTACTGTTAACAGTACAGTACCTTCAAATGGGCTTCCAATGTACATGCAATATCATATGTAATCTTTACATCAACACTTGTCCCATCATAATTGTCTAATAGACGCTGTAGTTCGTACACGGAATAAGCTATCCTATAAAGAATAAAAATAGTTTTTTTATCAATAGTTTTTTATTTTTAAGACATTTTGTCCTGCGTGATTCATGGTTAAAGTGTTGTACCACGATCAGTATATGAAAATGACATATGGGAAGACCAAGTTGGAGAAAATAAATGAATATACTGCAGTACACTATTGGTTTTTGTAAAGTGTTGTTCTGACAGCCATTCATTATCAGTGCAAACTTACTCAAATACCAACTTAATCATATACCTTTCTCCATGTTTAATGTTGAGGAAGCCTTTTGGGAAATCGTGTCTGCAAACACGTCCAAAAACACCCTTTTCATCATAGAGTTTGTTTCTCCCTTTTGACCTGAGCATGTCAGTTACTTCTCCAGCTTTAAATTCATTGCATTCCTGATAAGGTTTATACAGTTTACAATTAACCTGTCCAATAATTAATACACACATCTGTGCATATTATATGCCCCATGTATTGTGTAAAAGCTTGGAGTGACCTACAGTATAGTATAGAAATTTATAAGAGTGATGTAATAGCACCTGAAGAGCTTTATATAGCGAAAATGTTCGTGCAATAAATGTTACAAAATATACAGAGTATCCTTCTATTATTTACATGAGCTTCAACTTGTCAAATGAATCGTTCTTTATAACTATTACTTGCGTATTATTATTATTATATATATTATGTATATACATCAGACCTGAAGAGCTTTCACAAGCGAAAACGTTTGTCTGTAAATAAAAATGTTTTATACCTACAAGTGGTTACAATTCCTCCTGTTGTCAAACTATTTATATATATATATATATATATATATATATATATATATATATATATATATATATATATATATATATATATATGTAATATATTAATATTATCATAGCATAGACTGTATACCCTTGTACTCACAACATTTGATTCTTTGGCATTTGCTGTGTAACTTTGAACAAAATTGTCAACATCATTTTGATCAGCAAACATGGTTGTTTTGTGTCTGGATGGGTAAATATCAGTGCCTGCAGATTTCTTCCGCACAAGCCCAAAACAGCCATCCATACACTCCACAATGCTTCCTGATTTACCATCCTAAAAAAGATATCACAACATCTACATGCATATTAAGGAAATTAATATGGCTTAGATAGTACATGCAAGTACAGTTCAAGAGAAAAAAATAGGCCCATGATAGTATACAATGGGCATTTGAGGATGAAGTTGCACATGCACATATTAGGTGAAACACAGTAATAATGTAAACCGAAACTTACCTTAGGACAAAGAGGGCAGATACTTCTAGAAATTTCTGGGGTTTTTTGCCAATATGGTGAACCATCTCTCATCATATACTGGTGATATCTACACAAATACAGTGACAGTATGACTTAGTATGAAAATGTTTAAGGAATATATACATGCATTCTGTAGTTATATTATTCTATTAGGGTATTACCCAATCTAACAGTACACAAAATGCAGTTACCAGTACCTAAATTCATCAAAGGAATCGCTGTTGAGACCAGAGTAAACATTTTTCACCTACAGTATTGAATACAGAAAATATGAGATGAATTTCCCTTTCATGTATCCTATCTGCAGTGGTAAGTTTAGTCATTGTGGTATATCATCACAGTAATGACAACTGTATAAGTTGTCATCACTGTTGTCACAGGAACATCAAACACAAATTGACAATTGTAATCTTACAGTCCATAGTAAGTAGTAAGAACATTCTATAGTAAATTAACAAAATTTACCCATTTTGGGAAAAGAGTTGATTTATTGAGGACAGTCAACATGTCACAGAACTTTTGCAGAGAAACTTGACATTCCAAAACAAGTGCTTCTGCCAACTCCATCAGCTTTATGTGATAAGCTACAATAGGGCGTTTTGCAGAGTTAGGCCATAAATGCATCTTCCATAGGGTCACGACATCACTTTCACATTCACAAAAAAGGATTTGCTTCTGATGCTGTCGCCCTGGGTAAAATTAACATACAGAATTGCTCACTTGAGAATCATTCTGTAACTGATAAAGTAGGTCAGCTCACTAGCTGTTGATGTATGCAAACTTGGCAAAAATGCCAAATGGTTTGAATTTAAGTATTGTCCTTCATTCCCCACATGGTCTTTCATATTCAAATTATTTCACAAGTTTCCATATGTCAATAGGCTGGCTGAAAGTGTACCATGTCATTGTCAATATCATACACTCTATGTACATAAATCTATGACACTCAGAGTTTCTCTGTTGGTGAATCAAATATGTAAGGCATTATTATACCTGGTCCAACTGTAGATCTACTGTACAGTATGCTTTTGGGCATCTTAATGTATATCTTTAGTGGCCTAGGGTTGATATTTTACTATTTACTAAAATATCAATAGACATGTTATATTACCATTTTGGTACTTGGTGGCTTACCGTGTTGATCAATGCATGCAACAATTCTGGCACAAGATGTAGGACAATTCCTTTGATGCCATAAGCTCAATGGTTTCTGGTCAACAAAGAATGGTAGAAAACAGCCATCCTACAGATTGAAAGATACAAATTATTATTAAAACCTCAGTGATCATACACATCTGTTCAGAATACCTAGCAGAAGCTATTATGCAAGCTATCTACCTACAAAATTACCAACAAGGTAATTACACTTTCTATCTACAAGTTAATTTATCTGAGCATGGCATCCCACCACTAACTTGCTTTGTAAATTTTTAGGTAATGGTAACCACTCCACCAAAGCAAAAACAGTGTGTGGTGTGGAATGACACAATTTAACAAAACACACAAAATCCAGATCAGCCATTAAAAAATTGAAGTGACATTACTGCTACCATGTTGGTGGACAACATCAAAATTTCAATGGTTAGACAGTAAAATAATGAAATGCATATTGATTCATGCAAGCAAGCAAGCAATTGAATGGAACTAGAAGGAGACTTTGGGAGACTCTGACTCAGCTTGCAATTTGCAAACGTATTAATAAATTCATGTACCTTAAATATTTCTAAAACATGGAAGTGATTCCTTGTGTTGTGACTGTTAATTGCACAGTTTCTGCAATAATAAATATCGTGACCACAGTCGAGGCAACGAGTTTCGGCGAATGCTGTGCAATCACAGCACTGTACATCGTTGGCTGTGAAAGCATTTCGTTCGTAGCGAGATTTAACAAGCTTCTCCCTGACTTCTTCCCATTGTCTGTATTGCCGTAATCGTCTTGACTGATGTTGTGATAAGTCAGAAGTACTACGGTCACCAAGAATATCGCCATTATCATCACGATCATCGCCATGATCATCATGATCGGTATCCATCGAGAGCGAGGGCAAATTGCTGGTAGATATCTCATCACCATGAGCACTTGAAACATTGTCTGATGATGTTTTCAGAAAGATGCTACCGGCACGTTTGCTTCCACTTGTGGAAACTGAAAGCACGCGCAGTTTAACGGGTTTAAAACGTTTTGGTTTATTCACACTACCACTTCGAGTTCGCTTGGGCGCCATGTTGATGTTGTCTTCGCGGGCAAATGCCCGTTGTGGGTTGCTCAGGTTGCAACTCAGTGACGCTATCGAGCGCTGTTCTAAATTTTAGAATATACGCTCTATAGCGTTTTAGAATAGGTGAAACGGGTGGAAATTTTGCAGGATCCCTATCGATAACAGCATGTGGTTCGTGCTGACAAGGTTTTATCCTTCTTTAATGAAATTTTATCGATCTATCAAAGCAGTAGTCAAATATAGCAGCTGCGCCATCATAAAGCTAGCATATATGATTCGCTCGCTGCGCGTTCACATGTAGTCTTGACTCCCTCTAGAGCAGAGCGTATGTTATATAACCACAGAGTCCTAACGAGGATTTTCAGCGCAACTGGTATTTGCATGCGCCAGTCATAATTCGTACTGGTAGATACACTTTGAATTACGAATTCTTCGAGTCAATAACATCAGCTTGCACGTTGCTTTTAAGTTTTACCAGCCGTCGTGCGTACAGGATCTCCGAACTGTTGGCTTCGTGTACCTTTGGCTGTCATGTACACAGTTTTAAATATGTAAATAAAAGACTGTTATGAAATAAAGGTAAGACATTTTTGTTAACATATATATTGAGCATGGCTTGGCTAACGTTTTTTGATGGATAAGATCAGTTGCTTGAATGACAAAATCTTAATTGTACGTTCAAATCATGACCATTCTGTAATATTTCAAAGTAAATTACTGATTACTTTTCTATTCGACCTTAATTATTTTTTTAAAATGGCCTGATATATATTATTGTCTATTGCATGGAGTAAATTCCAAAGACTGACGAAGGCATCTGGAAATTCAACTGCGATATGAATGACAAGAGAGTGAATAATAGTTTACTTTATTAAAAAGACAAAGTCAGACACAATCAATCATTGTGTTTGATGATGACTTTGCAATAAAATTTAATAAAATCTTTCTTGTTTTATTAATATCTTTAATCTCAAGATGATTAATATACTTTCTGAAGTTGTCGGCTGGGCAGGGTTTTCGAAATTTGCATGGAATTTAATATACTTTAAACTTAAATAAATCTGGCTTAAGAAATAATCTTTTAATAATGAAAGTTTTATTCCTAGAAAGCCGAGAGTTTGTTGGAATTAAAGATCTAAGAAACGTTCAAAAATACTTAGTTTTTCTAAACTTCAGATACGGGCGAAAATGTGGCAACGAAAATACAGAAAATTAATAGCGATATCTGCCATTGTTTTGGTGCTTCAGACAACAAACATAAATGCAGGTAAGCTGCGCTATATATTCCATTTCTTGAATTATGCGTTACTCTGTATGTTTTTGATGCAACAAATTAATATTATATGCATGATATATGCTGTACTAACAGTACAATGAAATTACATCATTGAATTACTCTTAAATTAAACCATATTTCGAATTGGTATATCTGTATGTACACATTTTCAAAATTCAAATACGTCCATGGTAATTTGATTGACTGAAGGACCGTACGATTGGATAACGAAACGAAACTGAAAGGGATTTCGTAAAACATTGAGAAAATTTGGCCGTCTGTACTACGAAGCGGGGGGGGGACGCTGTATCTTTCCCAGACTAGGCTAAATTATAGTGAAATATATCTGGCAATTTGAACTCAAATGTCGGAAGGTTTTGCTGAAGTAATTCCTCTAACTGAAATTTTTAAGATCGTAAGCCTATGGCGAAGTATGACCAGTGCTGTCTCGTACTATTCCTCAATAATTACATCTTTAAAACTCTATGAAGATTTACATTGATTATTTTAAATGGTTTAGATGTGCATTATACTGTTTTGCCGGGTTCCATAAGTCGTTCTGAAGCCAAAACAAAATGTGAAGAAAATAGCGGAACTCTACCCAGCTTTGTTAATCAGGCTGACATTGACAAAATGGTGGTTGCTACAGGAGAATCACAACAACCAGGACAAGAATTTTGGATAGGACTTAAGTACTCCTCTGGAGATTGGACCTTTGATGATCAAGCAGATACCACATTTGCCAAGACAAGGATCTCTCTACCGTCAAATGCAAACAGTGGTGGGTGCGTAAAGATGGCAGGAAATACACCGACGTTTAAAGTGGATCAATGCGCATCAGGAAGATATGTTCTTTGTCAAACTGGTCAACGTTCTCCTCCACTGCTCTCGCCAGGTCAGAAATGTAAAATTCTAACACAGCTTTGGCAGTGGCGTAACTCCACGAGCTATACGAGGAACTCTGCCTGGTTATAGTCAGGGGAACCCAGATCATCGGGCTTTCAGAGGAACACTAATCTGTTTTTCCAGGAGCCCTTTTCATCCAATTTCTGTTTTGTTATAAGACACGCAAGCGACCGATTAACTATCAAGGACTAAACAATCATAAACTACAGTAAACATCCATAATTTTTCTTGCAGTGTTATTATCTTCGCCCAGTAAACTTCAAAAGCAAACGTCTGACTATGATAAAGGTAAGAATATGCGCATCAATATTCTTCATCTTGTGGATTTGACGCGTACAATGAAGACGGCGTTATAACACCACTTGGAGAATATTCGGTTTTTTCAGCGCGAACTGCATTACTCATTTATATGAAAATTTCACGTCAAGAATTATCGTTTTTGATAAGAGTTGCAAGCCTCAACAATCATAAAACAACTTCTCTAGTTTTCTTTGCAGCACCACGATCGTCGAGTCAACTTCCTAAACAAACATCTCAACACGATACAGGTAGGAATGTTTGCATGTATATTCCCTCCATGAACTACTCTTTATAAGAACTAAACATCTTTAATTATCCTCGTAGCAACTTCTTCTTTGAGTCATCTTCCAACGAGCACAACTTCACATGGTAAAGGTAAGAACATGAGTAAATATATTCTTTATATCTCGTGATTGTATAGTTTAATTCTTTCATGAACAATAAGTGAACTATAAGACTTCTTATAAGAACTAAACATCTTCAATTTTCTTCGTAGAAACTTCGTCTTTGAGTCATCTTCCAACGAGCACAACTTCACATGGTAAAGGTAAGAACATGAGTAAATATATTCTTTATATCTCGTGATTGTACAGTTTAATTCTTTCATCAACAATAAATCAACTATAAGATCTCTTATAAAAACTAAACATCTTTAATTTTCCTCGTAGCAACTTCGTCTTTGAGTGATCTTCCAACGAGCACAACTTCACATGGTAAAGGTAAGAACATGTGTAAATATATCCTTTATATCTCGTGATTGTACAGTTTAATTCTTTCATCAACAATAAATCAACTATAAGATCTCTTATAAAAACTAAACATCTTTAATTTTCCTCGTAGCAACTTCGTCTTTGAGTGATCTTCCAACGAGCACAACTTCACATGGTAAAGGTAAGAACATGTGTAAATATATCCTTTATATCTCGTGATTGTACAGTTTAATTCTTTCATCAACAATAAATCAACTATAAGATCTCTTATAAGAACTAAACATCTTTAATTTTCCTCGTAGCAACTTCGTCTTTGAGTGATCTTCCAACGAGCACAACTTCACATGGTAAAGGTAAGAACATGTGTAAATATATTCTTTATATCTCGTGATTGTATAGTTTAATTCTTTCATCAACAATAAATCAACTATAAGATCTCTTATAAGAACTAAACATCTTTAGTTTCCTTCGTAGCAACTTCATCTTTGAGTGATTTTCCAACGAGCACAACTTCACATGGTAAAGGTAAGAACATGCATGTGTAAATATATTCTTTATATCTCGTGATTGTATAGTTTAATCCTTTCATCAACAATAAATCAACTATAAGATCTCTTATAAGAACTAAACAACTTCAATTTTCCTCGTAGCAACTTCTTCTTTGAGTCATCTTCCAACGAGCACAACTTCACATGGTAAAGGTAAGAACATGTGTAAATACATTCTTTATATCTCGTAATTGTATAGTTTAATTCTTTCATCAACAATAAATCAACTATAAGATCTCTTATAAGAACTAAACATCTTTAATTTTTCTCGTAGAAACTTCTTCTTTGAGTCATCTTCCAACGAGCACAACTTCACATGGTAAAGGTAAAAACATGTGTAAATATATTCTTTATATCTCGTGATTGTATAGTTTAATCCTTTCATCAACAATAAATCAACTATAAGATCTCTTATAAGAACTAAACATTTTTAATTTTCCTCGTAGCAACTTCATCTTTGAATCATCCTCCAACGAGCACAACTTCACATGGTAAAGGTAAAAACATGTGTAAATATATTCTTTATATCTCGTGATTGTATAGTTTAATCCTTTCATCAACAATAAATCAACTATAAGATCTCTTATAAGAACTAAACATTTTTAATTTTCCTCGTAGCAACTTCATCTTTGAGTCATCTTCCAACGAGCACAACTTCACATGGTAAAGGTAAAAACATGTGTAAATATATTCTTTATATCCCGTTGATGATTTAGACTTCAGAACCTTTCAGAGGCTGTTGACTGCAATATATATATCTATGTATTCAACTAATCCGATTTCGACACTTCCATTTTTTTATTTTTAGCAAGTCGTACGTCATCTTCTGGGGCTGGTATTATTTTTATTATTATTATTATTATTATTATCATAATATTTTGACATGGGGCCTAACTTGCAAAAGTGATTTTCAGTAGGGCTCTGAGAAGTAAGTAATAAGTTGTCCATATCTTACCTATAGTATGCACTAATACACTATAGTGTGTCCCTTGCAAGTTGTCGATAAAAATCATGAAAAATAATGCTTCAATCCAGGCTAAATGCAAGTCCTGTTATTTTCTCTTCAGCTTGCGTTGGCATGTCTACAACTCGTGTTGAGAATCACAAGCTCGAGGGTTTTGATTTTAAAGAATTTCACGTCAAAAATATTGCACAATGCGGCATGAAGTGTTTCGCTGAGAAAGATTGTCGATCATTTAATTTCATTCTCTCCTCGTTGAGTTGTGAACTCTTTAATTTCATTGAACGTTTGGGCTCAAAAAACCTCAAACCAGCTCCTGGTGTGATATATTTCTATAAGAACTGACAAACGTGAAAGTCTTATAGTTATATCAGTGCAAAAAAAGGCTGTTCAATGTTTTACTAACAAATTATGATATATTATATA